TTGCCAAATTCATTTATTAAGTCTAGTAAATTTTTGATGGAGTCTTTGGGGTTTTCTATGTATAGTATCATGTCATCTGCGAATAATGACAGTTTCACTTCCTCCTTTCCACTTTGGATCCCGTTTATTTTTTCTTCCTGATTGCTGTGGCTAAGGCTTCCAGTACTATGTTAAATAAGAGTGGTGAAAGTGGGCATCCTTGTCTTGTTCCTGTTCTTATGGGAAATGCTTTTAGGTTTTGCCCATTGAGTATGATGTTGGCTGTAGGTCTTCCATATATGGCCTTTATTATGTCGAGATATGATCCCTCTATTTCCACATTGCTGAGCGTTTTTATCAGAAATGGATGCTGGATGTTGTTGAAGGCTTTTTCGGCATCTATTGATATGATCATGTGGTTTTTAACTCTTCATTTTATTTATGTGGTGTATCACATTTATTGATTTATGAATATTGTACCAGCCTTGCATCCCTGGGATGAATCCCACTTGGTCATGGGGAATAATTTTTTTGATGTATCACTGGATTCGATTTGCTAGTATTTTGTTCTGGATTTTGGCGTCTATGTTCATCAGGGATATTGGCTTGTAGTTTTCTTTCTTTGTAATGTCTTTTTCTGGTTTTGGAATTAGAATTATGCTGACCTCATAAAACGAGTTTGGAAGTCTTCCTTCTTCTTGAATTTTTTGAAATAGTTTGAGGAGAATGGGTGTTAGTTCTTTATTGAATGTTTGGTAAAACTTCCCCATGAAGCCATCCGGGCCTGGGCTTTTGTTTGCTGCAGAGTCTTGATTACATCTTCAATTTCCTTAGTTGCTATTGGTCTGTTCAAGTTTTCTATCTCTTCCCCGTCCAGTTTTGGGAGACTATGTGTTTTTAGAAATTTGTCCATTTTGCTTAGATTGTCGAATTTGTTGCCATATATATGTTTATAGTAGTTGTTAACGATCTTTTGTATTTCTGTGGTGTCAGTTGATACTTCGCTTTCGTTTCTGATTTTGTGTATTTGGGTTCTCTCTCTTTGTTTCTTGGTGAGTCTAGCTCCATCAATCTTGTTTATCTTTTCGAAAAACCAGCTCTTTGTTTCATTGATCCTTTGAATTGTTTTTGTGGACTCTATGTCATTTATTTCTGCTCTAATCTTTACTACTTCCTTCCTTCTATTTGCTCTGGGATTTTCTTTTTGTTTGCCTTCTAGTTCTTTACGTTGTGAGGTTAGATAGTCTATTAGAGATTTTTCTTGTTTCTTGAGGTAGGCCTGTAGTGCTATGAACTTCCCTCTCAGAACTGCTTTTGCTGCATCCCATAGATTTTGTGTTGATGTGTGTTCATTTTCATTCGTTTACAGGAAGTTTTTAATTTCTTCCTTGATCTCCTCGGTAACCCATTCATTGTTTAGTAACATGCTATTTAGCCTCCATGTGTTCAAATGTCTTTGCATGTTCTTGTTACAATTGATTTCTAGTTTCATGCCATTGTGATCTGAGAAGATGCTTGATATGATTTCAATCTTCTTGAACTTGTAGAGACTTAGTTTGTGTCCTAACATGTGGTCTATCTTTAAGAATGTCCCATGTGCACATGAGAAGAATGTGAATTCTGTAGTTTTGGGTATTTTATTTATTTTTTATTAATTTGTTTTTGTTACAGATGTTTCTCTTTTTTCCTCCATTGACACCCTCCGCCCCATCCCCCTCGCCCTATCCCCAGCTTTGTTGTCTATGTCCATTGGTCATGTCACCTTAGTTTTGAGCAGCTATTTTTGTTCCACAGTAGCAGAGATCTTGTTCACTGCTGCATTCCCAGTGCCCGATATATCATAGGTGCTCAATAAAAATTTCCTGAATGAATGAGTGAACTGGACTAATGCAAAGATTAGTTATAGCTGCACTCTTTAGGTTTTGGTTATACATGGTCTCTGGAGTCTGAAAGATGTGGGTTCTAATCCTGGCTCTGCGTTTTCTTGGCTTTATAAACTCAGTTTACTGAACCTCACTGAGCATCAGTTTTCTCATCTGTAAAATAGGAGCTAATAAAATCTATTGCTCATGGTTATATGGTTTAAGTGAGGTTATATATATATAAAGTGCCTAGTACAGAGCTTGGTATTTATTAAGCCCTCTTTGAATAGAAGTTATTAATGCTGTTATTTTTTAATTGCAATAACCCAGAAGTCAGCCGAGTCCTTTGTAATCCCAGTGAAATGAGCTCACTGGGATTGAGCTCACTGGGATTGAGCTCATTCCTTCCAGTAGAAGTCTCCAAGTCCTTTCAACTTCCACATCTTTCCAGAAATTTGATGTAAGAGGTGGGTGGTATGTTTCTTAGATTCTTAACCACCCTTTCTAAATAGGCCTTCTCTCCCCTCCACTGGCTCTTTTTGTCACCACTCTATTCTAGTCCTTCAGAGCACTTATCACTAATTTTTTAAAAGAGTTCAGCTATTTATTGAACATGTTACAAAAGAGATTTAGTAAAAAAGACTGAAGTCCATGTCATCAGTGAACCCCTCAGATTCTTCTTTGCTTCTACTCTTTTCTCCCTCGCCAGGGTGGCCACGGTGTTGGAAGGAGCAGGATCTCTTGCTGGGCAGGGTCACCAACCCTTAAATTGTAGATGAGGCTCCCAATAGTGATGTTGACCAGGGCATTTGCAAACAAGCCTGGGCAGAAATGTTCAACATTTACACCAGCAGCTGTAATGAGGGCATTGATCTGATCTTCTGTGACTGTCAGCTCATTGTCGTGCAGTATGAGGACCAGAAGAGTCCGGCTACTTCAGAGATGGATGCCCTGGTACAGGCAGGTCCTGGGCTGGTGGCTGCCAGGACTGGTGCTAGTTGCTGGATGAAGAGAAGGCCTCACCCCAAGCAGCCATAGCTGCCTTGGAAGGACCCAACACCTTAAAGGCAGCTGTGAAAAGGAGGCCCTCACTAATTTTAATACAATATTAGTTTATTGTTTATTGGTTGCCTCTCCCACTACTGTTAGCTTCCTGTCTGCCTGTTCTGTCTCCCACTGTCCATGCATCACCTACATGTGCGAGGGCCATAATAATATAATGATAATAATAATAATGATAATAATAATAATAAACATTTACGGCCGCACAGTAGGTGCTCTATAATTATTTCTGTATTGGAGGAATTTGACCAGTTTATGTGTCATTTTGCCTTCCTGCACTGGTGGATCCGGCTCTTTTGCCCAGCTGTGGAAGTCAATGCTTTGCCTCAAATTTATCCAAGTGATCTTTCATTCACAGAAGAACTTGGTATTTCACAGAATTCACCAAAGATTTGGAGAGATAGAAAGATTCACATAAAAGTGCCATAAGCAATTTACAAATTAAACATCAGATAATTTCTCTCCAGAAGTTTCCATTTCTACCACCCGGGCACTAACCCCGACCCCCCAACCCTCGCTGTGCTATACAGCTCCTCTGGCTTCTGCTCTTGAGCAAAGAACCGATCCCTCCCAATTTCTCCTGCAGAAAAGCTAGCTCTCCTCGGCCACAAGCCCCAGCTTTAGGTCCTAACAGGACCCTGCAGCCAGAGACTCTGAGACGGCCGGCACAGCACTCTAACTTCCATCCTGATCCCCATGCCTTAGGCTGAGACCAAGTGCCTGTCCCTGTTTTCCTGCTGATGGCCCCACCGGCTCACAAGCTGCTCTTCTCAGGCTGACATGACCTCCTCCAGACCCTGTGTGACTCCTTTAGAGCACCCCCTTCGCATAAGCGAGATCTGAGCTGAGCAGGCGATCTACGCTATGTCTAATTTCTTTCTCTGTCCCTGCCCAGCCACCAGCCTCTGTAGGAAGAAGAGACCTGTAGTAATTTGATATGAATTATGTATGCCTCCTTTTTAGAAAAACTGACAGAACATTTTTGTTCCTAAATGGCATTGTTTTTCTTTTCTGCTACTTCTATTGCTTCTACTAACTGCCATTTGACTCAGTTTACACTGGTCAAGTGATGATCTACAAAGTGGGCAAAAAAAAAATGGCAAAATGGGCAGGTGGGGGATTCTCAGGTGAAGAAAAAATGGTAGATTCCTACTTATTTTATTACCAGAGGATGTCAGATGATTTACATACATAGATAATGTCTCTACTTCATTTTGGTCATTAGAGGTATAACTCACACAAAATAAAACTTCCCAACTCTTTTTTTTTTTTTATCCTCACCTGAGGACATTTTCCCATTTTTTGTTCAGATAGAGTAGGAGGGAGAGAGAGGAAGAGAAAGAGAGAGAAACATCGATGTGAGAGAGAGACATCGAGTGTCTGCCACCCACACAATCCAACCAGGGCCGGGGACAAACTGCAACCATGGTACATGCCCGTAGCGGGAACTGAACCCGGGTCTCTCTGGACCACAGGCCAATGCTCTAACTGCTGAACCAAACCGTCCAGGGCTCCCAATTCTAAATGTACAGTTTAATTAGTTATTTTACAACTGTACATAGGTTGTATCACTCCAAAAGGTTCCCTCAAGTCCTCTTGCCATCAACCTCCTCCCCACCTTTTGACAACTGCCCCTGCCCCAGCCCCTGGCAACCACTGATCCACAGTCACTATAGTTTTGTAATTCAGCTCATTTTAATTTCAATTCTTAGTGATTATTTCTAGAAAACTGCTAAGGTGTGGCCAGACTGCTGGGCTGGGCTGGATTTTTCGTACTGAGGAGTCAGAGGCCAGAGATGACCAGACGGGAACTGGCCAGGTCAGCGGCTCTAGAATAACTCAGGCTGAGCTAGCTGAGGCGGGAAGGACTGCTAATCATGAGCCTCCAGGGACCATGCCAAGAAAGGGGAACAGAGAGAAGAGAATAGTCATACAGTCTAGAGGGAGGAGGGGTGGAAAAGGCCACATAGTCAGCAGAGATGGGAACTTGACTTAAAAGCCCTGAGCTGTGTTACAATTCAACTGTCAACCCCAATCCATCCTCAGCCCAGGCTGCTCTCAGCACTTCCCCTTGTCAGGGGTGTCTGTCCCACCTACCTGCCAGCCCAGCTTCCCCTTCCTGCAAGAGGCTGTGGTGACTCTCAGCGCTGCCAGATCACCAAATGTGGGCCATCCACCTTCCACCTCAGGGGTTGGGGCTGTATCAGGGAGCATCACACCCAGCTCCTTTCTCCCCTGGGCCTCTGTCTCCAAGTTCATGCTCCTGTGTACGGGACCCTTTGCAGGGCTGTTTGAAGTAAATTAACAGGTAGTAAGTATCTTCTATCAGAGGAAAGGAAAAATTTAAACAGTTAGGAATGACACAAATGAAAAGTAAGAAAGTCTCTCTCTGTCTCGATTCCTAGTCTGTCCCCCAAAAGCCAACATTGTCAACCATTTCCTGTATGTCCTTGGGCCAAAAAGGGATATTGCTTTAAAGCAATGTAATACACACATGGCTCTGCACCTTCCCTTTTCGCTGCATAAGCCATATGGGAGCTCCTTCAATGCCAGCATACTTCATCTCAAATCTACAGAAAACTTGCAAAAACAATCAAAGGAACTCTTGTACACCTATGACCCAGATTCACCGATTATTTACATTTCACCCCTTTTGCTTTATTATTTTCTCTGTTATCTATCCATCTACATATTATTTTTCTCTGAACCATTTTAGAGTACACTAGAGACTTGTACCCCTTACCCCTAATTACCATAGTGTGCATTTCCTAAGAATAGGACTTTCTTTAAATAGCACAGTTCAATTATTAAAACCAGGAGATTTAACCCTGATACAAAACTATTACCTGACTCACGGCCCATACTTCAATTCCGTCTGTTGTTCCAGTACCATCCTTTACAGCTATTTTCTCCAGTCCAGGGTCCAATCCAGGATAACATACAGTATTGCATGTAATTGTTCTATCTCCTTAGTCTCCTTTAATCTGGAAAAATTCACCAGCCTTTCTTTATCTTCCTTGACCTTGACATTTTTAAAGAACACACACCAGTTGTTTTGTAGAACGTACCTCAATATGGGTTTGTCTGATGGAATGTTGCATCTTTCTCAGTGCATCATCTCAGGAGGTACATGTTCATTTTCTCTTGCCCATTCCTGGTGCTATTAGATTCCTTGATTAAGGTGATGTCTGCTAGATTTCTCCATTTGTAAAATTACGATTTTCCCTTTGTAATTATGATTGTGGTGAATTGTGTAAATATCCACTTCCTCATCAAACTTTTATCCATTTCTTTCTGCATTCATTGATGATTTTCTAACTATCATTTCCTATAGTTGATATTACTATAAAAAAAAAAAGGTTGGGATTTTTTTTTAGCTGGTATTCTGTAAAGAATCATTTTCCCGCCCTGGTAGTGTGGCTCAGTTGGTTAGAGTGTCATCCTGATACACCAAAGTTGTGGGTTTGATCCCCCATCAGGACACATACAAGAATCAACCAATGAATGCATAAATTAGTGAACAACAAATCGATGTCTCTCTCTCTCTCTCTCTCTCTCCCAATCAATAAAATTTTTTTTAAAAAAAGAATAGCTTTCCCTTCTCTGCTATTTATAAGTTTGTTATAGTAGTATAAACTCTTAGATTCTTATTTTATTCAATGAATTATGATCCAATGCTGTTATTTTATTTATTTATTCTTTTGATGTTCAAATTGTTTCAAGGGACCAGTGAAAGTCACTTCAAGCTGGCGCCTGTGTCCTTTTGACATGTCTCATGACTCTTTGAGTACTTCCTTACATTCTGGTACAACAAGATGTTCCAGAACCGTCACACTTGCAGTGTTACAGCCCTGGAACCAGCCTTTCCTCGAAGGAGTCCTGGTTCCTTTAAGTGGAGAATGGTATTTGGAAAACAAGCCCATAGATTTTTCACCTACATAATTGATTTATCAGCGGAGTATTATTTTATTATATAGTATGTAACATGATTTACATAACCACCAGTTAATGAACATTTGAAGTGTTACCAGTTTTTGCTATTACAAAAATGTGATGCTGGGAATATTCTTTTTTCCCCTCTCTTTTCTTTATTGATTTTAGAAAGAGAGAGGAAGCAAGAGGGAGAGAGAGAGAGTTAGAAACATCAACAAGAGAGAACATAAACTGGCCGCCTCCTGCATGCCCCCAACTGGGGACTGGGCCCACAACCTGGGCATGTGCCCTGACCAGGAATCGAACCAGCGACCTCTTGGTGCATGGGGTCGATGCTCAGCTACTGAGCCATACCAGCCAGGCATGAGAATATTCTTGCACATACACTATCTTAGCTTACATTTGAGACTATAACTGTAGAGCAAATTTCTAGTAGTGAAATTCTGGATCAGGTTTATGCATTTAAAAGTGTGATAGATGTTTCCAATTATCCCTTGAAAAGATTAGAAAATTGTCCTAATTCACATATATTCCTCAGGGATATATGGGAGTGTCCTTTAACCCAAATCTTGCTAACTCTAAATAGTATTTAAGAATTTTAAAGTTTTGTCAACTCAATTATGCATTTAGCATTTCTGGTGTTATAAGTGATATTGAATCACTTTCTTTGGTTTATAACCATTTGTCTTTCATACTACCTGGTCAAAACTTTTTCTCACAAATATATATTCTCTCTATTCTTATTGATATAATACCTCCCTTGTTAATTAAGAAAATTAGCCTTGACAAAAAGCTTCCCAATTTTTTTTTCTGACAGTGCTTAGTGTGAGATTTTTGGTCATGAAAAAATTTTAAACATTCATTTGATATTTTCTGGCCTCCAGGCTTTATATTCTGATTAGACAAGCCTTCCCTACTACAAAATTATAAATAAGTTTCACTTAAATTTTTACTTTGTAATTATGTACTTTCTTTTCTTAGGTTTAATGATCCATGTAGCATTGCTTTTGAATGAGTAAAGAGGTAGGAATTCAGCACCGTCCTCCCCCACAAAGGGCTAGCTTATTGTTAAAGGTTTTACTTAAAAATCCTCCCCCACAAAGGGCTAGTTTATTGTTAAAGGTTTTTACTTAAAAATTCATCTTATTTCTCACTGCATTGAAATTCCACCTTTATCAGAAACTTTATTCTCATTTGTTTTGAATTTATGCCTGCATTCTATTTTGTTTAATTCAGCTTTCTTTTCTTCTCCATAAAAATAAAAGTATTTTAATTATTGTAGTTTCATAATATGTTTTAAGATCTAGAAGATGATACATGGTCTCATTTGAATCTCAAAATAAATCAGGGAGAAAAATATTTCTCCATCATTGCTAATAAGGAAATGCAAAAAAGGTGAAACAACTTGTACCACGCTGCAGAGAAGTTAGTAGAATACTGGGACCAACACCAACCCCTCCATCTCTCTCAGGGGCTTTTTTGAATGCATGGCCCTACAGCAGGGCTTAGTTAAGTTCTTGTAAGACTTATGAAAAGAGTCACCAGGTTTTTCCTGCAACAACTGCAGGTCTTGCCATTTATTAGTCTCATTAATCTTAGATAGTCCCAGTTAGTAGAAATATTTCCTGCTCTGTGTGATAGATATTTCTGAAAGGTTGAGCATATCTGGCTTTATTAGTTTTCAATTTTTATAAAGTGAATCCCTTTTGTTTTTTTAGTGTTTTTGTTTTTTAAATATTTTTTAAATTGATTTTTTAGAGAGAGAGGGAGGGAGAAAGATATGGAAACATCAATGCAAGAGAGCAACATCGATTGGCTGCCTCCTGCACGCCTCCTACGGGGGGTTGAGCCCACAACCCGGGCATGTGCCCTAACTAGGAATCGAACTGGGACCTCTCAGTCCATGGGACAACGCTCAACACACTGAGCCACACTGGCCAGGCTAAAGTGAATCCTTTTTCAAATGAACCAGAGAGCCTCTGTTGAAGGGAACTCTTCAGAGATCTAGTAATGCAGAGCCCTTCTGCAATTGTAAAATGTGCTCCTTCCCTTGCCTATCCCGTGATTCGTATTTGGAAAGGATATCTGAGTTTCTTCAAAAGAGGTGTATCCACTCTATTAGAGTTCTAGCACATCATGGCAAGTGAGCATGAAGACTCGAGATAGTTTTGACAGCAGCAATAAGGTTGGACTCTAAAGCTAAAAATCAGTGCTTCCCGGAGAACATCCTTCATCTTACTTCACCAGCACCTGATATTCACTGAACAGCTGTCTGGCAAAAATGACCAGCAAGACAAATGACAGTATCAACAGTTCATCTTCCTTAAACAGGAAACTTGAAATTGCTGGGTAGGGACAGTCAGAGGGCGGGAAAGCTGCTGAAGAAACTTTTCCACTGGCTCTCCTCACTGAGGTGCTGTGGTTTTCTGCAGCAAGCTCAAGACGGTACCTATGGCACCTAGATGTCTACGGATATTGTAGAGCTAAGATTTAGTGAGCATCATTCCATGCCTGATTTGTGCTAGGGGCTTTGTAAATATCACTGGATCCTCATATACTCTTTTAATTATATATAGACTTCCTATTTAAATGCATTTTTAAATGCAAAACAATATATCTGAGAGGGGGGAAAAACAGAGCAATATGGAAATGGATAATATGAAAAGTGAAAATTTCCACAAGGCCACTTACAGAGATAAACTTTGCTTCAATTTTTCCACTTAACACTATGACTTTTTTGTTGTCGTTAATCCTTACCCAAGGATATTTTCCCATTGATTTTTAGACAGAGTGGAAGAGAGGTGAGGGAGGAGGAGAGAAAGAGAAACATCGATGTGTCTGGTTGCCTCCCGCATGACCCTGACTGGGGCTGGGGATCAAACTTGCAACCCAGGTAGGTGCCCTTGACCGGAAATCGAACCCTCGACCCTTTGGTCCATGAGCCGACATTCTAACTGCTGAGCCAAACTGGCCAGGGCTAGTACTATGTCTTGAAAATATATATGTCAGTTCTGATTGTTTCTGTAGCAACTTCGTATCTCATTGGATGGATGTTTCACTTCTTAACCAATACTCCATTGATGGTTATTCCAAATTTGGCCTATGACAGCAGTGTGGCAATAAACATCTTTTTATGTGTCTCTTTGCATGCATGCCAAGAATTTCATAGAAATTTTTAGAAATAGAATTGCGAGTTCAAAAAGCATGCAGATGTAAATATTGTAATAGTTGTTGCCAAATTGCTCTCTGAAATGTTTGGGTTTTATAGGCATTTTCCAGATAAGGGCTGCTTTTCCTCTTTGAACCTGAGAGTCCTCGATTTTCTTATGATCGCAGTAAGATGAAACTATGGGTTCCTAGAGACAGGGTCTCCTAATCCCTTTATTTTGCGTCAAATGCATGCCAAGTGGTGTCCAGACAAAGCCCACACTATTCTCTGTCTACCTGTGTGACTCTCAACCACCCAAAGGCTTCTCCCCCACAGCAAGGTGGCTCCCATGACACAGCTGACAGAGGGGCCGTGATCTGTCGCTGAGCCTTTGTGAACAGTCTGCAGCACTGCAGTGTCTTAACCCATTTTGTTGCTTTCCCCAGATCAGAAGTTGTGAACCCATGGTGTCATCCAATCACCGTGCTCTCACTTCTTTGGGGGTACTGAGGAGAACACAAACAGGTATTCCTAACATGCCTACAATCATAAAAAGTGTGATTTCTAAAAACGGGGCCTAAAAGCCCCTTTAGGCCACTGCTTTCCAAATGTCTGGTGACTGGATACTGCCTTGCAGTTCCTGGCCCAATTCCAGGGAGCAGCCCAGTGCGACTGGATAATCCACTGATAGCCGATAATTGCACACAGAAAATTAATTACAAATTACTTTTTTAAATTATTGTTAATCCGCCCTGGCCAGTTTGGCCCAGAGAGACCCAGGTTTGGTTCCCACTAAGGGCATGTACCTCGGAGGTTGCAGTTTGTCCCCGGCCCTGGTTGGGTCATGCGGGAGGCAGCCACTGGATGTGTCCCTTTCACATCGATGTTTCTCTCTCTCTCTCTCTCTTCCTCTCTCTCCCTCCCACTCTATCTGAACAAAAAATAAAAAAATGTCCTCGGGTGAGGATAAAAAAAAAAGAATTATTGTTAATCCAACACAGGAATCCAGTAAAGAAGATTACAAGAAGCAAAAGGAACTTGGCACACTTACATCAGGCCTGTTTGTTCAAAACACAGTCTGTGGCATTGTGTATGTTATAGGCGCTACCTGTCCGGTCACATGTGCAATAGCCACGGCGCTGGGACAGCCAGGACATGTTCTCCTTATGCTCTAAACAGGAAACAGAGTAGACTCTGTTTTACTCTCTTCTCTTCTTCTCCTAATCAGAATAGTTAACCACCTTGTGTCAAGTAGGGCCAGATTAGAAGAATCTGAAGCTTTAGTAATTAATTCTTTCAAATAAAATTAATCCACTGACATGACAAATGCATTGGTCTGAGCTTCCACATTTTGGTTGGATGACTTCAAAGCATGCTAAAACTCCCAAATAAAATAATGAATACATTGTGAACAGTGTCCATATATCATCAATGCAACCAAAACTCAATTACCAGATATAACCCCAAAATAACAGGAAATTTGTTTTGGCATTTATATAGACAATAGGGTGTATAGCCTTGAAGTCCAACTAAAACACCCTCATGGAATAAACTGCTAATAAACCCAGATATGCTCAGTGATTAAAATGCATCATCTGTGACCAGCCAGTGTGGCTCAGTGGATTGAGCATTGTCCCAGGAACTGAGAAGTTCCGGTTCAATTCCCGGTCAGGGCACATGCTTGGGTTTCGGGCTTGATCCCCATTAAGCGGGAGGCAGTCGATCAATGTTTCTCTGTCACATTGGTGTTTCTAACTCTTTTCGATCTCTCTCTCCCTTTCTCTCTCTCTAAAAAAATCAGTGAAATCATATTTTTAAAAATAAAATGCATCAACTGAGTTTAGCCCAATTTCTATCTATATCCTAATTGTCTTCATATGAACAAAATCCAGTATCACATGCAATCCTAAAAGCTCTAATATTATGTGTCCGACTACAGATGCCTTTAAAATGATTAACCAAGGAACCAGGACTGTTTATTCTTATTTTAATGTTCTGAACACCGGTCCATCACCGTAAGCACATGGGGTTACAGACTTCAGGTTCCTGTTAGTGCTGTCTGTCTTACTTAAACTCAGTCCTGTGATCTGACTCCGCCTCGAACCAAAGTGGCCTCTTGCAGTGCTGTAAACAGTAGCACCATTTCATATGAAGTTATGCTAGTTGTCATTCTGCTGTCTATATGTTAATTAGTAGTTATTATTATTAATCCTAAACACAATTCAGAGGAATGGTGGGACATACAAACCTCATGTTTTGGGACTCTGAGACAATCTGTGCTTGCGTCCTGAGTGACCTGCTTATTGTCAGCAAGGCCACAGCAATCACATGGACAAGGCAGCTGGGGGTGTCCAGTCCCCTGTGTCCCTCGGCCCTCCTAGAGAGCATCAGAAGTGACTGGTAGAGGTTCCGAGAACAAGGAGGAACCTTTCAGCAAGGATCAAGAGACACCATCAGTAGAAGTGGCACTGGACTTATAAGCCAGAGGCCATGAAGGATGATAGGCGGCAGCAGCAAATGCCTCAGGGAGTGAGGACAATGACCAATGACCAGGTAGAATGGGTCGACATCTCTGTGCAGGGTGGCAGAAAACAGCACGGACCAGAGTGCTCCCCTACCCCTACAGCACTTAGCCACAAGTAATTTACCAACCATATAGGTATAGCATTTTCATTATATCTTTATTATTTCTTATAGGGACCCTACTTCCTTTATATACCTACTTGACGACATCTACCTTAATATCTCTAATTTTTCTATTATTTTCAGTGCACAGTGCTACCATAAGGTGAGGCTTGCTAATAATAGCCTCTAACATCTGCACCATCTATTCAAAAGCTTAATCCTTTCAATACTAGAATCTTTATTCCAACCACAGGCATGGTGCTCTAAACTGTCCTCACTTTAAACTGATGCTCTCTACTTTGTCATACGCATGCCTCCCCACCCTGATATTAGTAAATCAGTTATCTAATTTAAGCTTGAATTCCACACTGACCAATTCCCTCCATTTTCCTTCTCTTCTCCCACAGGTATTAACAGCAGGGCTCTTATACTACTATTTATAAGCAGAGAAGCTTGTATTTCCATATTAATTCATTCTACTACTAATGGTTGAGACTTCCTGTTTTTTCATGTGTTTCGAGTGTGTTTCTAATCACTCTCTAAAGCATTTTTATGATTGCTGCTTTAAAATCTTCATCAGTTAATTCTAACATCTCTGTCATCTTTGTCTTGGCATCTGTTGGTTGTCTTTTTTTCACTCAGTTTGAGAGTTTCCTGGTTCTTGGTATGATGGGTGATTTTTTTAAATTAAAAACTGGACATTTGGGGCCCTGGCCAGGATGGCTCAGCGGTAAGAGCGTTGCCCGCGGACCAAGGAGTCCCAGGTTCGATTCCGGCCAAGGGCATGTACCTCAGCTGAGGTTTGTCCCCAGCCCTGGCTGGTGTTGTGCAGGTGGCAACCAATCGATGTGTCTCTTTCACATCAATGTTTCTCTCTCTCTCTCTCTCTCTCTCTTTTCTTCCCTCTCTCCCTCCAGCTCTACCTGAAGATTAATGTAAAAATATGCTCGGGTGAGGATTTAAAAAAAGCAAAAAACTGGACATTTGGGATGTTAGATTATAAGGCTCTATCATTTTTAAGCCTTGTATGTTAATTTGTTGCCTCCGACACCACTCCTAGAGGGGAAGGTGGAGGGAAGGTGCTTCTTCATTACAGCCAAGAAGAGTATTCCCTTCTCAGCTATTTATTTTTTATAAAACAGTGTTTTTAGTAATTTTTAAACATATACAAAAGCAGAGAAAACAATACAATATATGCACATGTACGCCTCACACAACTTTAGCACTGTCAACACTTGGTCATTTTTCTTTCATCTATACCCTACGCCCCTCTTTTGAAAAAAAAATGTTTCCTTAGTTTTAGAGAGAGAAGAGAGAAAGAGAAACATTGATGTGAGAGAGAAACATCAGTTGGCTGCCTCCTGCACACCCCATACTGAGAATCAAGCCGGAAACCCAGGCATGTGCCCTGACCAGGAATAGAACAGCAACCTTTTGATGCACAGGACAATGCTCAACCAACTAAGCCATACTGGCCAGGGTCCCCCTTTTTTTTAAAAGCTGGATTATTTAAAAGCTCATTCAAAATTAAGATATAATATAATTTCACCCATAAATACACCAGAATATATCTCCACAGATTAAGCCTAAAAACATAACTGCAATACCATTATAACACATAACAAATTTAACAATAATTTCTTAATATGTCCTAAAACCCAGTCTATAATCAATATTGTCCAATTGTCCATGAAATTATTTTCTATAGTTAATTTATTTGAAACAAGATTCAAATAAGTTTCACATGTACACCTGGGTGATAAATTTTTTAAAAATTTATCTTTTTAAAATTTGTAATATTTTTCTATTTCCATCTTTTCCCCCAGGCCATGTATTTATTTAATAAAATGGGTCGTTTAAATATAGATTTTCCTATTTTCTGGATTTGACTGACTCCTTGGGTCATTTATCATGTTCCTCTATCCCCTGCATTCTTTTGAATTGAGAGGTAATTGGCATATAACACTGTATTAGTTTAAGGCATACAACAATGATTTGCTATATGTATTTATTAAGAAATAATCACCACACTAAGTGTATTTAACACCTCATTCCACTCAGGGGTTGTGGGGAGGGTGGTGGTCTAGGCTGTCCCCTCAGCCTTTGTTGGTATGGATAAGTATGGGACCACAGCTTTTCTGTGATGTTTGTCCAGAAGTTTTCTCTCTTGCTGGGATGCCACTCCCTGGTCCTTTACCTAGAAAGAGCAGGCTTGAGGGTTTTTTTCTTGTTTCTTTTTGTCTGTACCCATTTGATTTCTAGGTAGCTCACTTCTTCACCTCCAAACCTGGACTATATGAAGCAAAAAGAAACCCCAGGGAACTCACCATCATGCAGTTCCTTGGACCTCAGGGTCCATAGCCAGTCTGTCGTCTTAGGTTCTATATATAATGTCCAGGATTTCTAGTTGTACTCAGTGAAGGAGCGATAGGGAAAAGCACATCCGCTCCATCTTCCTAGAAGCAAAGAACTGATCTATTTTTACTACTGCCTGTAAAGGATATTTTTATAACAAAACTGAAAAAAACATTATAAATGGTTTCTTCATCAGCAATAGCTGCAATAGCACTAATCAAGCAAATGAAGGTTTATAAGGGCAAAAGTTATTCAAATTTCTCACTTCTATATTATTCACTTAGTAATTCAAATTACAAGGAAATTCATAGTAGTATTATCCATTTGTGTGAGGATTATGAACATTACTACTAGCTAATTTAACAAACCTAGCTTTTTTTCTTCTTGTTAGTCTAATTGGAACAAACTTATAGCTAGCGTTCCTTTCTTTTAATCAAGTATAACTCTTTTACTGATAGGTTCAAATTTAGCAATTACATATCTTTCTAATTATACAGAGTCATTATAATAGAATGTAGCATATGTATATACCATTTTAATTGCACTAAGCCATCTTTTATATATAAACATACTTATATAAATTGACATGTAATCTCTCTTCAACTCCTGGAGCTTAACCCTAAAATAATTCTTGACTTCAAGTACTGTAAATATTATTTAAATTAAATTGGACTGTGATCCTATTAACAAAAGTTTATTAATTCTTATCTATTAAGAAAGATTTTAAGAATTTTTAATTCCTATTACATTATGTAACATTTTATTTAGATTTTTTTATAATAGTAGTTATTTTTTGTTTTTAAGAGCCAAAAATTGATAATATTCCAAATAAAGAATGTCAAGCCCTGTCCAGGTGGCTCAGTTGGTTGGAGTTCGTCCTGTACACCAAAAAGGTTTCAGGTTTGATTCCCAGTCAGGGCACATACCTAGGTGTTGGGTTGGTCTCAGTCAGGGCGCATATGGCAATTGATCAATGTTTCTCTCTCACATCAATGCTTCTCTCTCTCTCCCTCTCTTCCTCTCTCAAAAAAAAAAAATTAAAAATATATCCTTGGGTGAGAATTTTTTTTTAAAGTTACTAAATTATCAATTAGAGAAAAAAAAGAGTGTTAATATATTGAATATTTTGATAACAATAAATCTGATCACTTTCCTACATTATCCACACATTCACATGTCACATCAATATTCAAATAATCTTAAAAGTCATTCCACATGCCTCTATAACCAGTCTTGTCCATACTCTTACATTTACTAATGTAGATTAGATGACTAGTATTTCAAACCTGCAATGAGCAATAATCAATATCATAATATTAATAATAACAGTAATGGTAAATATTTAAACTAATAAAAATGTTAAATTTGATTATATTTCAATAACCTTTATTTCTATTGCCCTTTTCATAACATAGTTCTAAAAATTTCAAAAACAAGGATACATTTACTCAAAATTAATCAATTACTTTATTTTTTTTTATCCTCACCCGAGGACATTTTTCCATTTTTTGTTCAGGTAGAGTGGGAGGGGAGAGAGGAACAGAGAGAGAGAGAGAGAAACATCAACGTGAAAGGAACACATCGAGTGGCTGCCACCGACCAGGGCCGGGGACAAACTGCAACCGAGGTACGTGCCCTTAGCAGGAACCGAACCCGGGTCTCTCAGGACCGCAGGCCGACGCTCTAACCGCTGAGCCAAACCGGCCAGGGCATAATGAGGGAAAATTTTTAAAGTAATTGATTGCCCTGGAAAAATGTCCTCGGGTGAGGATAAAAAAAAATTTGCCCTCATTAATGATCACTGCATCAAATGACTCCTAACAATATTTTCAAACTTTGTATTGGGTAATAAAACATAGAAGTCATGTCATGTTATTAATTGATCAATGATATGATCAAATAGATGCAAATACAGTAACCCCTCCAAGCAGTTCTCTATAATTGGGTTGAAAAAGCCATCTTTGAATCAGGTTTTGAAAAATTTAGAGTTAACTACTTCATAAGCTTTCAACTAATTTTTATTATCAACCTACTTAGCTACTCATTTTAGGATTACTAGGCCTAGTTTGACCTCTGGTCTTGACTGCCTTCTCTAGTAGAAGTCTTCTACCATTAACAGCCTTACATTACAGGACAAGAGCAAGAACAGGGTTTGTTTATACTAATCTGAATTTAACATTTCCTAGAGAAAGTAAATAAAACAAAATACTTATTTCCTAAGCCTCTGTTAATGAGCCCAGACAACACTACTTATGGCCATCTAAAATATTATATTTTAAAAATAGTTTATTTTTCCACTTTCGACCTACTAGGAGTAATAATAATACTAAGTTGAATTAATCAAACTTACTTAAAAAGAAGAGGCACAGGTGCAAATAAGCATATAAAAAGATGCTCCACGTCATGTCATTAAAGAATTGCAAATTAAAACAACAGTGAGATATCACTACATACCTTTTAGAATGGCCCAAATCCAAAACACTGACAATACCAAGTGGTGGCAAAGGTGTGGAACAACAGGAAATTTCTCATTTATTGGTGGTGGGAATGCAAAATGACAGAGCCACTTTAGAAAACAGCTTGGCAGTTTCTTACAAAACTGAACATACTCTTACCATATGACTCAGCAAGTGTGCTTTTTGGTATTTACCCAAAATGAGCTCAAATCTTATGTCCACATGAAAACCTACACATAAATATTTATTGCAGTCCTATTTATAGTTGCCAAAACTTGGAAACAACCAAGATGTCTTTCAGTAAGTGTATGGATAAACTGTGATATACCCAAACAATGAAAATTTATTTAGCACTGGAAAAAAAAAAAAAAGCTATTAAGGCATGAAAAGTCATGAAAGAAACTTAAAGGCATATTACTAAGTGAAAGGAGCCAGTCTAAAAAGACTACATACTGAATGATTCCAACTATATGACATTCTGGAAAAGGCAAAACTATGGAGACAGTAAAAAAAATCGTTGATTGCTAGAGGACAGGAAGGAGAGAGGGAGCAATGAGAGTACAGAGGATTTTTAGGGTAGTGAAACTATTTTGAATGATACCACATGTCTACCACTGATTTAAAAAAAGATGTTAACATATTGCTACATTTGCTTCATTAGCATTTTTTTCTCTTTATTGATTTTAGAGAGAGAGGAAGGGAGAGGGAGAGAGAGATAGAAACATCAGTTAGCCACCTCCTGCCAACCCCTGCACACCCATCGCTGGGGATTTGGCCTACAACCAGGGCATGAACCAGTGACCTCTTGGTGCATAGGTTGACACTCAACCACTGAGCCACACTGACTGGGCTCATTAGCATTTCTTAAAGACAAGGTACATTACACTTTTGATGGGACAAATCACATATTATTTGTAAGTCCTATCACCATGCATATCATCTCTGCTTTTTTTCCTTGATCAGCAAACTCATGAAAAATCAGCAGTGCCTTCGGAAAATATCAATCTTCTTGTCCCTGGCCCATTGTTCAAAGCACTTTCTAAGCTGAACTATAAACATCTAGTGTCCACCTTTCTTCAAGATTATGTAACCTAAAACTGCCCCCCATTACTCTTTTTTTAAATGTATTGAGAAAATAGTTCTCTTTAAAAAAAAAAATTTTTTTTAATTGATTTTTAGAGAGAGAAGGGAGAGGGAGAGAGAAACATCTATGGGCTGCCTCTTGCATGCCCTCTACTGGGGACCAAGCCTAAAACCTGGGCATGTGTCCTGATCTGGAATCAAACTGGCAACCTTTCAGTGCATGGGATGACACCCACACTGGCCAGGGCACCCTTCATTACTCTTAAATAAAACATCATGACCATGAATCTATGACTAATTGGTCCATGATCCTCTATAACTGTGGTTTCATTAGTTGGATATATTTTATTTTATTTTATTGTATGTATGTATGTATGTATGTATTTATTTTTGTTAATCCTCACCCAAGGATATTTTTTCCATTGATTTTTAGAGAGAGTGAAAGGAGAGTGAGGGAGGAGGAGATAGAAAGAGAAACATCAATTGGTTTTCTCTGAGTTATTTTGTTTTAATGTAACCTTAACACACACACATAGAAAAGCACAGAAATTTTAAGGGTAAGGCTTGATGGCATTCAGATCACATGGTATTTTATTAAATGAGGGAAATGCTGTAACCCCGATATGGCCATAAAAACCTAAAAATAGTCTCAGAACTTACAGCATGTAATCCATAAATGGTATTTACTTAATGCTTGTGAGATGTAAAATAAAGTAATATATAATAATAGCTCTGGCTGGTGTGGCTTGGTTGAGTGTCGTCCCATGCACTGAAAGGTTGATGGTTTGATTCCCGGTCAGGGAATATGCCTGGGTTGTGGTCTCCATCCCCGGTACGAAGTGTGCAGGAGGTAGCCAATAGATGTTTTGCTCTCACATTGATGTTTCTTTTTCTTCCTCTCAAAATATATATTATTAAAGTAATAGTGTATAATAAAAGTATGTATGTGGGCACAAATGCACATGAGTTAATAGAAATAAATATAAAATTAAACTAATATAATTAGTTTTCTGTAAACCCTCCTGCCTCCCTGAACTGCCTACTCCTGTTACTTTTAATATCTTGTTAAACCTCTAAAGTAGAGGCATGGATACATAGAACAGACTGATAGCTGTCAGAGCAAAGAGGGGTAGGGTGGGGGACTGGATGAAAGGTGAAGAGATTAGCCAAAGAACATGTATGTATAACTCACAGACACAGACAACAGTGAGGTGATGGCCAGAAGGAAGGAGAGTAGAGGAGGGGGCTGAGTGGAGGTGGACAAAGGGGGGGAAAATGAGAATATCTATAATAGTGTCAATAACAAAAAGAAAGTTTTAAAAAAAGATTAGTATATACAACAGCAATAACTATCATCTTGTATTAAAAGACAAAAATTTAGGTATAAATAATGTTAAAATTACCAACGTACTCTATAGAATTTTTTCCTTGGCTTCACACTTATGTAAATTACCTAATTTTATGGTTCAATACAGACAGTGCAC